CTAAGAAAGGCACCACCTCAGGTAGTGAGATGTGATGACAGAATATTTAATTAAGCTAAAATTAGACAATGTTCATGTTAAATCTCAGGAGGCTCAACACCTAGAGGCCTTTGCAATTACAGTTCACTGTGTGTGTGTCTGTGTGTGTGTGTGTGTGAGTGTGAGGAATATTAGCGGCTTTGTGGAGAAGTGGAGCTGCTTACAAAGTGATTCAGCGCACTAAAAACATTATCGCACAAACACAGGCGGCGATTAAAAAGGAGGTCATAGATGTCCACTTGTGCGAGTGCGAGGGGAGACATTTAGCGAGGGCGGACAGGATAAGTGATTGAATTCTACTTTGCTAATGAGATTTAAAAAGGTGCTGAGTGGCTTTCTGCTGGAGAAGGGCCATATGGCCTTAGGCTCTTTGGGAGCGCGAGCTAAGCTGGTGTGAAGTCTTATTCCTCATATCTCCAGAATGAATTATAGCACACTATAATCATGTTTACAATAACAACGGCATTAACAAAACGTTTTACGGTCTTCCCGTGGTCTCGCAATGGCTGTGAAGGTCAGCGCGAGAGGTGGCACTCTTCCAAGCTGCGCGGCTGTTTTAGTGGCACAGGCTGGCAGACTGTGCGCCTGCAGACATATACATGGGGTCACAGCAGGTATGGAGACACAAGGTGCAGCATCAGTGTGAGACCGAACATGAGTGCAGAGCAAATTCGCTGCGGAGTCAGGTGGTAAAGTTAATTTGGAGGGACTGGAAGGATAGAGCAGTGTTTACTTGGGCATTCTCCATTCAACGCCGTCTAAATGTCTCTGTTCCTGAGAAGCCTCTGAAAACAGCAGATCTGATCTGTAACGTTACCTTGAGACTCATTGGCCAGAATCCGGGTGATATTTTTTAACACAGGGGAGAATGGAATGGCATCTGGAAGCTTATCAACAGCACTCGTCAGGAGATCCATCGATGACCTGGGGAAGAGTGAGCAAAGAAATTTAGATCCCTGCTTCCTTAAAGCTACATTTAACCCAGTGTTAATGATACTCACATCTGAAATGCACTGGATAATGTGAAGAAGGAGAGCCCCTCAAGAGCAGCATTAATGGTCTCTTCCCGAGAGGCATTCAAGCCCCATGGCACGTCCCTCGTAACTCCCTTCAACACAACACTCAGATCAGGATTGGCAAAGAACATGTGGACTGTCTCCAAGATTTCTCCTGAGGTGGGAGGAACGGAGATGGCTCTGAACATGGAGGGGTAGTCAATGAAGAACAAGTCAATGAAGTCATCCATGGGGTCCCTCATTGGCATCATCAGGGCCTCGCGTCTGTGTCGGACCATCACTGAATGGTTACCGCCGGTCATTTCTGGCCTTGACATTCCCAGCTGCTGATGCATAGGAGACAGAAGACCAGGGGTGCTCAACAACTGCCTCAGCATTGCTATGACGTTCCCGGCTAGGTCCTTGAACAGCTCAGAGTTTTCCGGCATTTGCACTCCCAGCTTGGTCAGGAGGGACAAGATGGACCTGAGGATGTCATACATTCTGTGCAGCACCTGCATCAGCAGATCCAATCCGGACGCTCGAGTGGAGCCCAACCACGTAGTCATCTCCAAAACCTTCCGCACAATCAGAGCTGTGTCGTTGGATGCCAGGATTTGCTCCAGGGCTTGGTAAACCATGGGGTCATCACCAAGTAGTTTCAGCTCAGTCATGAGTTTGACAACTTCTCTCATCGTGTTGATAATGGACGCCTCGTTGAGTCCGGAAATGTTCCCCAACATCGTGGAGAAGATGTCACCTGTGGTGATGTTGGCAGAGGTTAGGAAGATCATCGCTGTCTGTTTGAGGAGGTCCTGGGAGGTGCTGCTGTTTTGAAGGAGAGGGGCATTGCTGATGAAGTAACGCACTGCTTTCTCTAGTGCCTCGATGTACGGCTGGAGGGAGGGGGCCTCTTTACTCAGCTCGTCTGTGAGCATTTTGATTGAAGACAAGCTGTGGACGGGAGAAATTCAATGAATTAATGAAAAATTTGATTCAAAAAACAAAAGCATGTCTATTGACAACTGACTGAGAAAAACAATGATTCAACAGAACTCATTTTTGGCCAGAAGTAATGTTTCTCATTGGCTTGGTTTTCTTCTTTCCTCGACAACATATTGCTGAGTCTTTCCACTGTGATAAATGATCTATAACTTATGTAGTCAGACCTGATTGATTACCGGCAATATACAGAATGTGATCATTATCACCATGCCCGGCTTAATATTGCTTCTGGCGTATAAAGGGAAATCAATTCTGAAAGGATATCGCACTTAGCTGAATCATTGTTACACCACTATCAACGCAGGATGCCCTGTTTTTCAGCCAGAGTCGCATGAAATGAATCAAGTTGAATGCAAATGTGGTGTCTGCCAGTTTTTTGTGCGATTATGCATTGAATCGAATTGGCTTGACATTGGTGCAATGTCGATAATGTTGTAACAACAAATGGAGCAGTTAGTTCATGTGTGAGGAGTCTGTGTTGAAATGCAGCAGATGGATGCAGAACATTTGCACAATTTAAACACTGCAATCCATGATTTAAACTGTGACGTTCAGTGGGTTTTGTTTGTGGCTGTAAAACATGTTGATACAACTGACTCACACTCTCCTCATATTCTATTGTTGCATTGCAGCCTGTCAGTCTGATCTACTGAAGGGGACAAAAGTATGTTTTGATGTTCTAATGCAACTTTTGAACATTGTGTCTGCTATGACACAATCTGAATACGGCTGTAAATAAGTCACCTGTTCTGTAACTGTATGTCCTGGAGCTGCTTGTTCCAGTAAAGCTGCGCCTGCGGGCTCAGAGGCTGGCCTGCCAGCGTCGAGAGCTGCTTGGAGAAAGCTGAGATAAGCTGCTCTGTCACAAGTGATTGGTTGACAATGACGTGGTACAGAGCCTGCATGGTCTCGGCAATCCTGGCAGCAGTGGCATTCACAGTCGTCGGCCCCACGCCCATGTGCTGTGCAGGCAACATACAGAGAAATGGACTGTTAGCAGCTGGCAGCTTTCTATGTGTGTCAACACTGCCACCAAGTGGTGCAACTCTGAACTGTATATATTATTTTAATCTCTACTCACAGTTATGTTAATGTGGGAGTAGAGAGTTATAGCTGCAGCATAGGCCTCAATAACAGGCTGCAGGCTGATGTTGCACCACATAGCCATGGTGGCAGGGCTCAACCCGGCTGCCTCACTGACCGGCTCCCATGCGCTGAGAGCTTCATTGCACCCCAGTGTGCCATTAGCCTAGAGGGGGGAGAGAGAGAGAGAGAGAGAGAGAGACAGCAACAAAATGGTCAAAGATCTGATTGTGTTTCAACTCTATTGTTCAGAGAAAACCAGTTCAGAGTGGATGGGAGACAAAAAGCAGAGGCACGAGGGAAATATCATAATCTCTCTGTTCTGGCACTTAAGAGGAAACAAATCAAAGGGCAGGATTCTCACACAGGTATCATTGACTATGAGACTGACACAGCAGGTACACACCCACACACACTTTACTGTAAATGCATGAACAATGTATGTGCACATACATGAGGCAAGTCTCCATCTAAGGTAATCACAAGATATAATTTTCTGCTACTCTATACAGCGTATTCTCAGCATGATGCGGATAAGAGGCCATCTGATACAGACTTTGTCGGGCTGAGAAGGAAGAACATACTTAATGAGGCCTGAGGATGTGATAAATATAAAGAATATACAATAAACATGAAAGTCACTTTGAATGTAGTGGTACTTTTGTACTGCAGAGCAGAATGAAGTAATTTAAATGACAATAATAACAACAGCATCCCGTTTATTCCTATTGAGGTATAATTATTTTTCGCATAGAGCTGCAGAAGTACACCTGCTGGTCCTGCTTCTAGTTCTTCTAGATCTTATATCAGATAGTCTTCCATGAGCTTCATCAAGTAAACAACACTCACTACTGACTGAGGTATGTAAAACCTTTGCAGTGACAAATGTCCAGTCAACCAGCCCACAGGTTTTTTTGTGTTCTGGTATGTGAATGTTGTCTGTCAGAAAGCTTTGAGGGGTAAATAAGAATGCACAAGAAAGGTTCCACACCTACAAGGAACAAAACTCTTTCACCGTGCTGTTGCATTGACGCATCGTCTGTGACGCCAAGATGAGATATTGGTTCTTTGTTTTTTATATCTCTCACAAACACACATGAATGCAGACATGTCTGCTGATGGCATGTCGAATACAGCAATGCAGAATGTACGAATGCAACAAAGATAACAGTGGCGGTCTAACCTGCTGAGCCACTTGCACCGTGTGCTCAATGGCAGCCGGGATTCTTTCCGTGACCTCCGACAGGTTGAAATGACTGGAATTCACAGAAAGTGCAACTTCCCTCATCAAGGTGACCACGGGAGTCTGTAGGCTTAGTAACATCACTGAAGAAGAAGAGATTTGATTGAAATTAATTACTTAGAAATACACAGGTAAACAGCAGCTAAATCAAATTAATATTAGGAAATACTTTCAGGTATTGCAAGGAGTGCTTTGCAAGACAAACCAGATCTACTGATGTAATGTCTGTTAATTTTTTGATGTGCACTCCACATACAGTAGGAGTCTTGTTCCTTCTTGATGATTTATCATGAATGATCATTTTCAGACATGGAACAGTCTATCCTTGTCTAGGCTAGGTAAGGTAAGATAATGGCCTCGCTGTTTAGTGGTGTTCTTACCATTCTCTGCTTGTGTGTTGTTCACCAAACTCCCTATGATTTTCTCAAACAGTGGGACGACAGATGAGACATTGTGCCACAGCTCAGTTCCCTCGAGGGATGAGAGTAGGGCTTGAAGCATCTTTTCAAGGCTGTGATAAAACACACAAATGTGGGTGATTGAAACTAAATAAATACAGAAATCAAAATTTGTACCATCATCTCACACAGACATTTAAAGCATGCAAATAAACCAGCACAAATGAGTTAAACCAAATTGAACCCACGTGTGTTGGTCAGCCTTGCCACTCATCAACTGCTCCAGGAAAGGGGACAGGTGAGTGAAGACCTCTATAGATGAAGCAATCAACTGCTGTAAGTCTGGCATTCCCGTGAAGAAAATGCTGAAAAGATTTCCCAGCTGACAAAAAAGAAGGGAAAATTATATATTACTATATATTTATTCTGGTAATTCTATGCAACAAAAAGCGTGTTTTGTTTGTCTGTGATGATTAGAGATACCAAGTCTTTTTATTTTTTTTATTTTCACTTCCATTAAACTTTCTTAAAAAAGATAAAATAGATTGTAAATGGTCAGTCAAAATACATGTACAATTTTCTATCAATTTAGCTAGTTCTTATCACACTGATGTATGTTAAATCATTATCTTTTATGGTAAGTTTAGGTTTAAATAGTTATTCGAGGCTAGAAATATGGGATGAAATGTCAGGTTTAACAACTGAGACGACTCACAATCAGTCAAGTGCAAGATGCATCGGCCATCTTAACATACAGTCTATTTATAAAACCAACGAAACAAAACTTTCCATACACTTGTTTTAAGCCTCACCTCGCCAATAAGCATAGGAACATCTTCTAGGGATGCCTTCTCAAAACGTGCCCAGAGACTCATATTACCTGAAATCACAACAAATATTAATCACAGAGAGGACTTCAGCTTCATAGACGAACATATGAACTACAATCCTCCACATGAGCACTGTGATACTTTAATAGGCATCTCTTAGGCTTGAATAATGGAGTGCACCTCATCAGGATTCAACAGGTCCACCTAAAGTGACACTGAGAAGCGGACTTGCCTTGGCCTGACTCCAGGATGGAGCGAGTGATGTTAATGACCACAGAGATGTAGGCCCGAGCTGTGCTGTTTGGCGGCAGAAGGCTCTCGATTGTCTTCATCTCACTCAAAATTCTTGAGAAACAAAGCGAGAAAATATTTCAACATCTGAACGTGTCTCATCAAAAGATCATATCTCATAAAATTTTATTAGAAGGTTGCAGATGGCACTCAAGCATGCTTTCCAGGTTTCTGTTTGATTTGAGAGGGCTTGTTAATTAAGATAAATGGAATGGGGAGGCTTGGTGGTTTTTATTATAGTTAACGACTGGGACAATTTTCCTCAGATTTGAGATATATATAATTAATTTTCATTATAAATTGATGGTAAGACAGTACAATGTAATGAATGACAAGCACTACAAATTGACTTCTTTGTGGCATTTCTTTTCTTCCCTCATGAATTTCTAAAATGTCCAGTTAAAGCAAGATTAGTTTCATAACATTTCATCTGGGTTTGTTTGTTAGATAACAGGATAACGTAACTATGACCCAGAGCAAATCTAGTTTAACAGGCAGATCCAGATTTTTCACTCTTTCTTAAAAATGGTGAGATAGGGCATTAGCCTTGGTGGAGATATGTGCTGTCCAAGCTGCCCTACACATTGGACTCTCATTGAATTATTAATTACAACATTATACACAATGGAACCGCAATGCAACACAACTCATTAACCTTTAGTGGCCAACTGGCATTTAAAGATTTTCACTCTTGAGCACTATTTCAATTAGTTTATCATTTCAAACCCTGTATAATAATACCATTAAAA